TTTCACAAAAAAACAAAATTTTGCATAGCAAAAAAGTTACAGCGATTTGTTAAAAATGCATATTTTTGAAAAACACCCCGTAACTCCGAAATGGTAACAGATATCGATATGCGGTTTTCACCATCATGTTTTTGACAAAAATTAAGCTCCAAACACCGATATTAGTTTTTGTCTATCTCCTATAGAAAATGGTGTTTCCATTTAAAAGTGTCGAATTTGACCCACCCTGTATACACTTCGCTCTAAAAGAAGTTGTAAAAAACAATGTTCGACTGCAATGTCTGCTAGTAAAAATGTTTAAGCTTAAAGTATCACAACACAATTAATTTAAACCAAAAACTCGAAATACAAAACTAAAGTGTCAAAACGAGTGACAATGTCAGGAAATGTCAAGGAAAAAAATTTCAGAAAATTAAATAAATGTGGTAACTTGACATTTTTACAGCAGATCAACCACCTGAATTCCCAGCAGGAAATTTAATTTCTAGTTAATCAGCCGGGCGCCGAATATGTCTATGGTTGGTTTGGTTTGATGAATTTAAAAATCGCGTCCTCGATTACGTAACAAAAAGTTAATTGGTATCAAAGTATATTTACTTAGTTATTACCTTACATACATATACCATTTTGTAAAGCTTTAAGTAATTTTAACTCATAAATGAAGACAATTATTACTCTTCTTACTCCTTTTGGCAATGATTCATATGTTTCAACAGTTCTACTCTCTTTTTTAAATTATACATATCTTCAATAGTAATCTAAAACAATGGAAATATTACTTTAATACATACAATAAAATATAAACTCTTATCAATTTAGAAAATATTTCGAGGAAGTACATCCTTCAATTGGCTTTAAATTGTTGGACAATCTAAAAACAGGTTAAGGTTAAGTTATTTTGAGGTAAGAAATGTTCTCTTTAATCTCAATGCTTATCTATTTTAAGGATTTCTTAATTATTATTATAACGGAAGACGTAAACTACTAAAAAAATCAATGAGTTTTTTGTCAAAGAACTGCTGAAAAATTTATCTTGAAGACTTTAAAGCCATAATTTTTTAGAAAGTTAAAAAATGATCTGATTTCACAGAACTACCTCGAATGTAGAATGTTTAGGAGAGGAGTTAATCACCGCCACCTTACAGATCTATTGTGTGTTCCTCTTTCTTGAGTTATCACGAGTTATAACTCATCATACAGTCTCAGGGCTTTAACAAAAGCCAGTATCTGAGACAGCTCCACAGAGGCTATCTCTTCATCCTCGACATTAGCCGTACCAAAGTTCATGGCACGAATGGTCATCGTCTCGGCGCACTCAATGATAAGGTGTTCTGGTGTTTCCCCATTTTCCCCACAGAATCTGCATTCGCCGTTATTTCTCAGCTTCAGCCTACTGAGGTGTTCGTTGTGTGTTCGACAGTGTCTTGTTAGAAACCCCGTTACAATTCAAAGATTGTTTTTACTTAACTCAAGGAAAACCTTTGATTTCTATCGGTCGTAAGTTCTAAGGAATTTTTTCGAGTGTTTTAGACCGTTAGAGGACACCCATTCCAAGTTACGGATGGAGTCTTCCAGATTCTTCAGTTCCACTTTCAGTTGGTTCCCGTTTGGAAAACAGAACGGTTCTGGTCCACTTAGTGGAGTGTTCGCTCCTTTTCTAGCTAGATCATTTGCTTTTTCATTACCTTCTATCCCATGGCACCCAGAGTAGGAGGACTTTATTTTCTTTGCCTAATTTGTGCCCACAGAACTACCTATATGTAGATTTCTGCCTCGTATGAAGGTTTAGAAATATTAGAATAATGAACTAATGCAGAACTAATATTTTAAATAAGATCTAATTGATGTAATTTGTTTTTATTACCTTATTATGAGTAGTTACTTTAGTTCTGCATTTTCAAGTCGCTATGAATGTATTTTACTAAAAATGAATAGAAACAGGGCAAACAAAAGCTTAACACATAGAGAAGTTCAGCATTGTTTCAAAAAAATAGAGCAATGTTTTAATACTTTGGTTTTATAACAAAATATTGACATGGTATGTCTAGAGTTCTTCTCGCGTAACTTTTCCCAGTCTAGGGGAACACACAAGGTCTATTTTAAGATCAATTCATCAATTTTATAAAGTTACTAGTACAAAAAATTGCAATAAAAAAGTATTAACTTTTAGTCGCTCCGCTACTGATTCATAATACACCAAACGACTCTAAAATAAGAATCTTGACCTAAAGTTATCTTTTAAAGAAAATATTTTTATGCAGCTTTAAAAAGTTTACAATAATTTTATTATACACCATAAAATCTTCAATAAAATACAGAAACTTAACAAAGGTAAAAAGAAACGTTAACCATTTTTGAGCACGGATTTATTAGACTATAAAAATAAAAGTCCAAAATCGTAAAAGTTTGAAGTTGAAACATAAAAATATAACTGAATTTAGAAATCTAGTAATTATTTTAGGTAGAATAATAATTATAATATACTAAATAATTAATAAAATATTCTAACTGACAACTTTAAAACACCCTGTGCAATAAATTTGTGGCCAGATTTTTATAAAGCATTATTTTTCGGTCAGAACCATGTCTTCTGGGCATTTTGCTTTTAGGCTCATGTCAACACATGTCTTGGTTAATTTTTAAGAGCAAAATAAAGTTGTCACCAGCAATTTGCACTTTTTTCAATTCTCATTGCTTTTTGAAGTTATTTTTTAATATGAAGAGGTGACTTAGGTAATACTATACTAATATCGTAATGTTATAATGACAATTACATTTTGTATACCAACGGCAACGATTGAATATGGTACAGTGTAGAAAATTGTGCAAAAGCCGTTGCTCTTTTTGAAGATGGGTAAAATTCTTTATGAATATGTTGATTAAGTAATGCACACTCATCGCTCTACTGTCAACAGGGTATTGGAACGTTTTGGATAAACTGGTCGAAATAAGCGTATAGACTACCCTGGTAAGAAGCGCAAAACTACCTCTCTACCAGTCTTTTTAAAACGGTGCAAACAAGAAGTCTGCATCAGGAGGTTCTAGGCAAGAATGTGAGTGTATTAATACTTCGTCCAATTGTAGGTATACAAAATGTAACTGTCAATATATGGTATTACGATAATAATCCATCTTGTCATATTAAAATATTACATCTAGATATAAAGATAAATGAAAAAAATCCAAATTATTAATGGCAAGTTTATTTCGCTCTTAAAAATGAACTAAGGGATGTGTTGGCATGAATTAAAAAAAAAGCTCAGAAATCAAGGTTCTGACCCTAAAATAATGTTTTAGAAAAATTTCCTCACGAATTTATTGCACAGGTTGTTTAAAAGTTAATGTAATTTTTTTTTCTTTAACCCTGTAGAATAAGCCAAATACTAAAATTAATGAAAAACTTAGTTTACGAATTAAAGTTGATATATAATATAGAGTTTTCTAAAAGAAAGATGAAAATAGGGCTAAAAATAAAAATAAAATATACCGGGTGCGCCTCCAAAGTGGCTCACCCCTATAATTTTTTTATTTTTTCAGATAAAAACGAGATTTGGTATGTTAGTATATGCCATAAATTAGAATTGACTGACGTATTCAATTGTTTTCGATCACTTCCTTTTTCATCGGAAATGACTACAACTTTTGATTTTTAAATGGCACCCTCGGTATTTTTTTTTTATTTTATTCGATAGAAAATGACACTCTCAATCGAATGGCATATCATATGTCAACTTCTGACGTTTTCGCTCAAAACAAAATTGTATTTTAAATTTCAATCTAGAGTGGCTGTATTAAAAACACTAATTTTTAATCAAAGAGTCTTGAAAAAAATAGATTTGATCGTCTAATGTTTTTAGTGACTTGTCCTAGTCGGTTCAAAGATGCCCAAATCGTATTTATCGTAATATCGTAAATCGTAATAATCGTATTATTTAATCATATCTCAATTTTTTTAAATAGAACGAGGGTGGCTCATTAGTATATTTTGAAAAAGCATTTTCTTACGAATAATTTGATACCACACACTTGGTATTTCGAGTCAAATTGTCGTTACGATCCGCATGTTATAATTTCAAGTAAACCATATGCGAAAATGTCAAAAGTTGACATATGATATATCATTCTATCCAGAGTGTCATTTTCTATCGAATAAAGTAAAATCAATTCTAATTTATGTATACTAACATACCAAATCTCGTTTTTTTTTATCCGAAAAAATAAAAAAGTTATATGAGTGAGCCACTTTTGAGACGTACCCGTATATCGATTTAAATTTGACAGAAAAATTTTCTGTTGTTGCGTTTTTTGCATCTGAGCATCTGTATATTCAATGTTACTTGTCCATATTGAAAAGTTAAGAATAGCTAAATAAAAAAAATGTAATCCTTCTTTTTCAAAAAATGAACTTGAATAACTGAAGTGAAAAAACATGAAAATATAGGTGAATTTTTAATCCTAGAAATCAAAACACGTTTCCATAATAATATAATTTCGTTTTCAACCTTTGATATATTGTTATTGATAGAATTTTAATTAACGTCATATTTTTTGCTGTTTTAAAATGTTAAAGAAGCAGAAAATTTATTGAGTTCAATGCTATGGAATGGGTGATAATATTTATCGGAAAATGTGATACTTTAACAACAGCAAAAAATATGAATGTAATCGAAATTAATAATAACTATCTATCAATGAATGAATCGAAATTGAACTTGATTACGATAGAAACAAATGCATTTTTCTTAAAACTTTAATAATAAAAAAGTTTTTACCCATCACATGGTATAATTTTTATACCTATATTCAAATCATAGCATATTAAGTCATATTTTTTGCCTGCACTGACTTTATTATTTAACTGTGATAAATAAGCGATAAAAATAAGTAAAATAAAAAAATACTGGACCCGTCCCTGAAAACGGATCTCTAAACGGATTCTTTCTTATCTCAAAGGTCCAAGGGTGCATCAGAAACCACCACAATAGAAAACAAGCACGGATATTCCACTGAACTATAAAAGCACTATCTCAGCTGTCTGACAATTCAGTCTGTAGGTTTCACTGCCACTATTCGGTTAACTAAAGCTTTTATAATCGACACTCAACATGTACAAATTCGTTGTAGTATCTGTGATAGCCCTTGTTGTTCTTCAGGTAAGTCAATAACTATTAACATTTTATATTGTTTAAATTTTTAATAACAGTAATTTGGCAGTAATTACTTAAATTAGCTAATTAAATATGTATGTAAAGAAACAAATTGATTGAGATTAATAAATGTTTTCACGGAATTAATAAAAATATTCAAAAAGTATCTGAAAATGAAGTTGGTTGTTGAGTACAAAGGTTGAATACAGATTGGTATTCCTTTAATGTCGATAGTATTAAAACATTAAATTATTTTAATTTTTTTTTCCATAGTAACTGTTAAAATTGCCTTATAGGTATCTATCAACCGCAAGGGTAGATTAAATGATACTTTAACAGCGAGGATAGGTTAAAAACTTTATTTCTTCTGGCACGTTTTTTAATTGCTTCCATTTTTGAAAATGTTTGTATTCCTTATCATAAGTTATTCGGGATTTGTTTGGATATGGCGTTTGTCGCCTCAGCCTGAATATTTCTTGGTAATTTACTTACTTCATTTTGAGCCATTTCTGGGTCCAATTCAATCAGCAATCGACACGAAAGAGAATTAAAAAATATTGACTCAAAACTGACAACTAAAGAGACAGCTTTATTTATTTCGACAACGAAAATACTTTTTTAAAAAATTTTATTTTTCACAAAGTATGTTTAACAGATACAATGAATACAATGGTTAAGAACAGAATGACAATTTTAATGCGCTTGGTTATATTTATAAGTTCGGTTTCGCTCGCGTCTTCGTGGGAAAACCATGCTATTTCCTCTCACATAACTTACACTACCATAAAATTGCATGCCATAAAACATTTATTTTTGGAAAAAAACTCTAAATTTCATAAACTTTTCCTTTTGTATTTATGTATTTGCAATTTTTTTATATTATTATTGATATAAATGTAAAAGTTATATTTTTAAATTTCATTACACTTTATTTTTTACCTTAGCTGCATGTAATATAATAATGATATCTACTATAACTTTTGTCAATATTAGTTTTATTTTAATATATATTTTGATTTTAAAATTTCTAATTAAATACTTTAAATGTTTAAGCTCATATTATACTTTTAATACTATACATGGGTATTCAACAACGAGTTGAAAAAGATAGTTTTGTCTTAGCCTGTACGTAATAAGGAATAGAGTGTATTTTATTCTAATTAGTTTAGAATGGGAGATTATAATAAAATAATGTTAATTAAAATACATCAATAATTTGTTTTGTTGGCTAGAGAGCATCAATCAAATATAAAGCCAAACGTTAATTAATTTTTAAAAAACTGTGGGTACATATTTTTTCAGATATTTTAAGAACCATTATTCCGATTTGAATGAGATTTTCGGTGTCTATGTTTTGCTAAGTGCTTTAACACTTGACTTTCACAAAAATAAAGAAAAAATACGGGAAAGATAAAAACTGCCCCAACCCTTACATAAATTTCAGACAGATTTTCTTTTCGTAAAATTGCCCCTCTAATATTTATAAAATTTTACTTATAAAACGCCACATCGCATAATTCCTTGACAATTTTATTGGGGAAATTTATTTTTCCAAAACAGACCGATAACAAAATACACAGGAAGTTCCAATATTCCCTGGACATAGCAGACCTAGGCATCTGTTGAATCAAAATAAATTAATAATAATTTATTAACTTTTTTAAGGTTTTTGTGAAACTTATTGTCAAATTTAATTTGTAATACAAACAAAATTTCATAGTTTTGACAACTAGATTATTAGAGCATAACAGATTTTATGCGCCTCCACAGCTTGATGCGACAAAACACATTTTTTGATAGTCAGCTTTGGAAAAATATTTCTAAGAGACAAAAAATGTAGTAAATACTAACAGGGCTATTTCCAATAAAATCCAACATTTTGTAAAATTAAAACCAATAACGTCAACATTATAATGTCACAGCTCTAATACATTATTTTAGAAGTACTAGCAACTATAAAGAGTAGATTGAACATTCGTTTAATAAAAACGTACCGAGTAATTCGCACAGCCCATTTAGATATCTATACTATATTTACACTTGCAAAAAAGGTATTGCAAGTCCAGCATTAAACTATGCAGGAAGTTTCAATTAATTCGACCAGCGCATTTGAATACAAATTATGTTTCTCTCATCAGTAGGTATACCCTTTTAGCTCCAATTAATCTATTATGAAAATTGTTTCATATACAAATATTTTTATGTAATAAGAGTTATAAAATGTTCAGTTGTTCGAGTTAGTTATAGTCTGTTATAGTAAGTGGTACAGTACAATTTATTAGTGAAGATGTCTCTCAAAAATCATTTATATCTGTTTTTTTGTGGGGATATTGATATTATATTTGGCAACGACATTTCAACTCTTATTTACCTACAATTTTTATAATTAAAGTTTTTGAAAGTGGTAGCTGATCATTTTCAGTTTTGATTTCATGTTAAAGATCAAAATAAAACACTAATTTACCACAATCCACCAAAACACTTTTACTTCTCCACTGGACCTTTTTAATCATCAGCAAATGATTAAAAATAGTTTATGAGCTTGAATCACCTGCTGATAACGCTAACATGGTTAGCGAAATGTGCGCCCAGTGCAAAATTAAAAGTGTTTTGGTGTATTGTAGTGAATTAGTGTTTTATTTTGCTGTTTTAACACCAAGGGTTACAACCCTCAACTGTAATCTTCAAGTTAAAGAGTTACGTTAGTTATGTTAAAGAATAGACCTACAATATAAAAAATAGAGTACTAATATTTCACATTATTTGAAAATTATTTATATTGTATTTAATGGATTAACTAGGATATCAACTACTCAAGTATATTTACCATCAGCAAGAACTTTACCAATAAATATAATAAGATTTAAACTAAATTCTTAATGTTACATCTGCCATAACGTCTTTTCATTCAATAACATGGTGCTCACAACATTCGCATCAAGCTTCTAAAAAGAGATGACAAACACTATTTGTATTTCAATTCAAAGACAATGCTTTTAGCTCCTAATAGACATTCTCTAGCTCAGTGTGAGTTCATAATAAATGGAAAACCTCTAGTGAGGGGAAAGAGACTCAAACCTCACAAACTTTTCAAATTAATTATTTCAAAAAATAATTTTTGTTACGTAATGGGGCAACATGTTTCGGGATTAGTTATATCCCATCATCAGGCCCAAAGACAAGTCTCGTCATAAAGCTACACCAACTCAGAACAAATAAGAGATCTAGATTGAAAATATTCATTATAAAAATTATTTAATAAATGAAGATATATTATTTGCATATTTAAGGTAGTTTGGCTAATCCAAAACCATATATTTATTTTAAATCAAACAAAATGATTTTAACTGCCGCTTAAAAAACTACAGAAAATATAAATGCAACGCGTTGATAATTACTGTTAATTTTAACCATTATTTCATTAATAAAGTCATATTATTTGAATATTTAGGGTTGTCTGGCTAAGCCAAGAGCCAAACAAGCTTCCACACCTATAGAAAAATCCCAAATTGATGAACTGGCCGCTACTGCCCGTCAAGTTGTACAAAATGTTAGTGCTACCATAGAAGGAAACTTACCCGACTCCAAACAAGTTGCCAACTCCATCGTAGAAAACACACAGAAATTCGCCACCAAGTTGAAGAGCGTTGTTGATGATTTAAGCAAACAGGTAATGACAAGCATTATTCTAATTTTCTTTATTTTTATAACTGTGCTAAGCAGTATTTAAAATAACTTTTACGAGAATAAACAACATCTTATTCTCTGCCAGTTGGTCATCACCATGAAAACAATTAATATACAAACCCTAAGTTGTAACGGCATCTACAAAAATATACAGGGTTGTTTACCACATACCACACGGAATATTGTAGCTAAACGATTAGATTTTTATAAATTGTAAGTTTTGGGTTCGCTAATTTAAAAATATTTTTACAAGATACAGAGTGTCCCAAATAAATAAAAAATATTAAAGTTGTATTTTTTTAAATGGAACACCCTGTATATTATTACATTTTCAGTTTCTACGATTAAAATAAAGGTAAATTTGATTAAGGTTTATTACACTTAAACCTTACCGTTTTTGAAATATTTTCAATTTTGTGAAATTGCAGTATAAATTTTAAGGCTTCATTTCTCCGAGGGTATCAAAGTTTTTAATACTAAATATTTACTGAAGTTTATTTATTGATCAGTTGTTGTGTTGCAATAATAAAAATTTTACTACCTTATACAGAGTGTCTAAATATTTATTTTAAATAATTATTAGCTTTAAACGGCAATAACTTGTTTAATTTAAATAGAACACCCTGTATGTTTTATGAGAATCAGATGCACAATTTAATTGTCTATCAAATTGAATTATACCATTTTTTACCTATCTCTTCAAGTTTCCGTAGAACATGCATTTTCTTGTAATTTAGAACTCATTTATCAATATACCCATGGAATACTGACATTTTAGATTATTTTTAAACATGTAGCAAATTTTTAAAGAGTACAGATACTAATATTGTCGATATAGTTCGTAGATTTCATTAAAAAAATAAAAAAAACTGTTTAAATATTTGTTAAAGAGGACCAATTAATATGATTCCAGTATTCAAACTACATTAATTGACTGTTAGTGTTGATTAATAATAATTGCTCCAAATACTAAAAAACTGAATTATGTATGTGTATTAGACAGTGTGGTAAAAAACTAACACCTTAAAAATGATATTTCATTTTTTGACAAATGCTTATTTATAACAATAGAGACGTTCATTTTCATAACTTATTATTATATTAATTTCTGATTCAAATCCACATTTATTTAATTAATAATATTATTAACGAACAGAATTAAGTATGTAATTAATTAGTATTTGGGCGGAAATACTGGTGGTATATTTAATTAATGGTATACTCTTTTATAAAGATTTAAATATTTTTCTTTTTGCATACAAATGGGCTAGTAATATTATCGGTTTACTAAAAACGATAATATTACTAGCCTATTTTTTAATACATTGGTTGTTTAAAACAATCTAAAATGTCAATATTCCATGGGTATATTGATAAATGAGGTCTAAATTATGAAGAAAATGCATTTTCTACGAAAACTTGAAGGGATAGGTAAAAGTGGTATAACACAATTTGATAGACAATTAAGTTGTGCATCTGATTCTCATAAAATATACAGGGTGTTCCATTTAAATTAAACAAGTTATTGCCGTTTAAAGCTAGAAATTATTTAAAATAAATTTTTAGACACTCTGTATAAGGTAGTATAATTTTATTATTGCAACACAATAACTGGTCAATAAATAAACTTCAGTAAATATTTAGTATTAAAAAACTTTGATAACCTCGGAGAAATGAAGCCTTAAATTTATACTGCAATTTCGCAAAATTGAAAATATTTCAAAAACGGTAAGGTTTAAGTGTAATAAACCTTAATCAAATTTACCTTTATTTTAATCGTAGAAACTAAATGCAGGGTGTTCTATTTAAAAAAATATATATACAGGGTGTTCTATTTAAAAAAATACAACTTTGATATTTTTTATTTATTTGGGACACTCTGTATTTTGTAAAAATATTTTTAAATTGTAGCTCTAATAGTCCTTCAACGAACCCAAAACTTATAATTTGTAAAAATCTAATCGTTTAGCTAACATTCTCCGTGTCATATGTGGTGAACAACCCTGTATATGGTCTAGAAAATAAACGTTTTATAATAAAGCAAATAAAATTTGATTTGAGATATGTCTAAATCATATTATAATTTTTTTTTAATGATTCTAAGTATATTTCACAACATTTTTTTTTGTTTCGTAGACCGCTGAACACAAAGGCGATTTTGAGAACGTGTTGAAACAAATCGAAACCAACTTCAAAAGCACCGCTGACAGTTTGGAAAAGGCCGTAGGACCTGAAGCTACCGCCAAAGCTAAAGACTTGAAGAAGAAATTGGACGATGGTTTAAACAACGCCATCACCGAAGCAGAAAAACTTGTGAAAGCTGTTGAGCCCGGCGCGACACGTAAGTTTTATCATTTATAAGTATACAGGGGTGCTACATTACTACATAACTTGACATCATTTGTAAAAGTGTCTTTACAATAAAGAGTACCAAATGTCTTCGGAAGTATAAGAAGAAAGTTCAAAGAGCTATAAATAAAATTCAACGAAAAATAAATTTGTGCAATAGGGAGGGTGGTAACCCTTTCGAACATGTAGAGCATTAGAAACTAATTTGTAGAAGTTGATTTATTTATAATAACTACGATTAATATTATGCATATTATTAGATGGCACACTGATATTTCAAATTAACAATAAAAAAAGTTAAAAATAATATCGTTAAATTGCTGACCTGGATATTATTTATTTGAATCTTCCAATTGGCTCGATTTTCCTTATTCAATGTTAATTAGCGCTGATCAATATTGTTGCAATGAATATATTAAGATAAAATAATTTAAAAAAACAGAGTCGGACTTGAAATTATTATTTTAAATAATAATTAAATAGTTTTGTTGTTGTTAAGGTACGCAAAACAAAAAAAAGTATAAAGTGTGGCATATCGTTGTACTCACGAGACCCAGTTCTTTCAACCTGAAATAAAAAATGCAGATCCGTATTTAAAAAAAAATTTGGCCTCTGTATCTCACAAATTATCAGCTCATTTAAAATCTAAAAATACTATAAGACAGTCCTAATAAAGTGGCTTTGAGAATGTGCAATTAGTCGATCGACTAAATCTGAATATATTGAAAATCCAGTGGCCAAATCATAGTTAAATAACTAAAATTATTGTAATCATTGATTAATTTTTTGTTTTTATTATTTCAGAATTGAAAACAGATGTCACCAATACTGTGAAAGGACTCTTGGACCAAATCGTTGAAGTCAGCAAAAACCTTAAACACGACTTAGACAAATCTTTGGCAAAACAATAAAATTACATTCTTAGGAAGTACAAACTGTATTAAATTTAAGTTTAAGTGACTGATTTACCTAAATTATAGTGAATATGCTCTAAAATATATTTTTTTTAATTTAGTTTAATTTTTTAAATGAAAAAATGTATAGTTTAAAAATAAACCAACAGACAGAGTAAAAGTAATTCATTTATTATTTCTCTATGTCATTATATTTATCACCTATCAATTCATATAATGTTATGTGAAGATTTATATAGTTTAGAAAAAAAATTGGTCAAGTGCGAGTCGGACTCGCGCACGAAGGGTTCCGTACCATTCATTATCTATACAACATTACACACTATATTATTATAAACTTTTTTTTTCCGATTTAGTTGAAATTTTGAATGCGCGTATAAGTAATTAAAAAAAAATTGAAGAAACACATTACTAAAAATTTTATTAATCAATAATAAATATGTAAAAAGTAAAAATAAATATGTAGAAATATGTAAAAATTAAAAAAAAACGATTAAAAAAAGTCGCCTTGACTAGGATTCGAACCTGTCTTACTCCAACGTCATAGCAGCGTAAAGTCCTAACGCTTTAAACCACGCGGCCACCGAGGACTTGAAAGATTCTATGTAAAATTCTTACTTAAAAGATAATGTTTAGTGAAAGTGCTTTTTTGTTTATAAACATTTATTTAATTCTGTTTTTAGTATTTGTTCTTATAGCGGCAACATAGATACATTATCTGTGAAATTTTCAACTGTCTAGCTATAACGGTTCATAAAATAGACCTTTGTGACAGACGGAGGGACGGAAGGACAGGGAAGTCTTAGTAATAGGGTTCCCGTCTTTACCCTTTGGGTACGGAACCCTAAAAAATAAACAAGTGCTCATCAGAGCAATACAAATTATGTCAACACAATATGTTTTTTAACTATTTTATTTTTAATTTAATTAGTGGATACCAAAATAAAAATTTAAAAAAAATCATCCCACCAATTTTGCTTAAAAATGTCTATGTTTATACAATTTTCAGGAATTATAAGAGTTAATATATTCTATGTATTTTTTCCAAAAATATCTTTTATCAAAATATTCCTTTTGACAAAATTCTTTTTATCTTGACATTATTTTGACTTAGAGGATTAGACGAATAAATACGTATAAGCTGAAAATACATTACTGTAATGATAGATTTCTATAAGAAAATGATAGATGGCGATAAAAATGTGTTAATAGACGGAGAGCTGGCTACACAAAAAACTTTATTATCGTTACATGGCTCATTTTTTGTGTGAAGTATCCTTTTGTGTAGCCATTACGAAATAGTCATGTCTGCCAGCGCGATCCCGCGGCTTAAAGCGGGAGCGGCCAATCGAAAAAATGAAATTTTGACACTAAAAATATTATAAGGTACACGAGTTATAATTGTCAAATAGCTTTTATTTATTATTAAGAAACGTGTAAAATTGTTGACAGACATTTTCCCGTGGTTGAAATGCCAGCAGACAACGCGAAAGAGCGTGGAATTTTGACAAAAAAAAAATCATCGCATACATGCATGTCGATTGGTGGAATGTCATGTTTATTTATTTAAAAAGCCGTATGCAAATGGGCAAACAAAATAATCGTGGCTCAATCAGCAGTAACAGTTATAAAAAGCGCGATATTACTCTACAGGGTAAATATTGAATAAGTGCAAATATTTTCAGAGCTGGTAGATCTCGATAAAAAACATATTTTCTTTTTATCGTTTTCCAAATAAGTTCAAAATAACCGAGTTAAAAAAACTTCTATACCTAGTGTATCTGTAATTTACTATTTAAAAATTTGGAATAGATTATAACACATATTATGTAGAATTTGATCAAATGTCCAAATGAACAAATAAATAATTGCATTGTATTTAAAAAAAAACTACTTTAGTTACTAAGTTTAATTAAATATTAAGTTAAATGACATTCAATATTATCAAAAATACGTTGGTTAACGTGATTCATATATTTTCTAATATTTTTTTATAAAAAACAGGTAAGTTCATATTATGCACTATATTATAACCACAGAACAGATACAAATTATGTATCTGTTCTGTGTTATATAAATTGGCACGCCCTATATAGATTACAAAAATCTTTTAAATTCACATCTTTATAGGTTTAAATAAAATTACATAATTGTTTTTCTATTTTTTATTAGAAGAAAAATATGGCATAAAAGAAATTTAAATTATATTTGTGATTTTATAGTCACTAAATGTTAATTAACCATTGCCTTATGTTTTGGTGGCGGATTCATTCTTAAGTTTGTTTACTAAATCTTGACCTTGTTGTTGAATCTTCTGTCCGAATTCTTCAAGAACTTTACTGGTGTTTTGGTACAATTCATTATTCTGCAAAATAAGTAGCAAAATTATTTTATTTCTACAAATATGTAATCAAAGATTTTACTATAGACTAATTTATACAGTATGTATGTCCCCGGATTGTCTTTACAAGAGGAAAAACTTTTTTATTATTGAAATTTTGAGAAAAATGCATTCTTCATAAAGAAATTGCTAGTTCTGGAATGGTTAATCCCTTTATACTTTTCCAAATTTCCATACCGTTTTACAGAAAATTAAGAAAAACATGAAAATATGGTTAAATTTTTTCCTAAAGTCCTAAAAATTAAAACTATTGTAAAATAATTTAGATTTGATTCTTTGATAGATGGCTATTATTAATTTTGATCAACGTAATGCATTTGCTGTTGCTTAAGTACCACATTTTCCAATTCACTATTATCACCCTTTCCGTAGCATTCAACTAACATAAATTAAGTTTGTGCTTTTTTAACATTTTAAAACAGCAAAAAATATGACCTTAATTAAAATTCTATCAAAACAATCTATCAATGAATGAAATTTACTAATAAGTATCTAATGAAGATACTTGGTATCAGAGGTCAAATTAAAGAAATTGCTGATTTAGAGGAAAATAATTTTGGCAGTAAGATGTCCAAATCAAACCAAACCAAATTAAAACCTACTTGAATCTCACATTGCCCAAATAAGTGAATGACTCAAAGAACTGGAGCATATAAGAATTAAACAAGAAATAAATGAAGATGTAGTTTTGGCACCACACAGCAGTTCTAAACAAAAATGTCTTATAGCACATGATCTTTGAAAATTTGAAAAAAAAAGACATCTTTAGGCTCAACTTTCGTTTAGCTGAAATCTGTTATATAAAAAATGACTTTATATATGCGTTCTAGAAGACGTTAGGAGTACAAATATACAAAGATTTTCCTGCGGAAATGCGTCATTTTCATTTTTCGGACTTTAGTATAGCCGAAATCTGTTACATCAAAACTAGTCGTCGCGTCGAGGTGTGTTTTAGACATTTTTCTAAACATAAAAACACAAAAAAGTGTCGCGGAAATTTTTTATTTTTATTTTACATAAAAAATGCGTTGACTTTAGAATAGCCGAAATCAGTTACATGAAAAATGAACTTGTATTTGTTTTATACGAGTCTATACGAGCAAAGAAATACAAAAAAATTCCTGCGGAAATGTGTCAATGTCATTTTGTGCACTTTGTTTTTCATACATTTTTCAGTTTAGAAGCTTACGGGACTCGGGAGCGAATAGGGGTGCTGGTTGGTGTAAAACATCTTTCGGAAGAATAACAATTCTTGTAGAATAGATAATATAGGTTCTTGTAAACTATAAGTACCTCGGAATATTGCACTTATTCTTGTTTTTGATTAAAGCTTTACGTAAATAGGGCTGATTCAAAACAAAAAATCATTGGATCCTGCAGTTTTCTTTTATACTGTGATTTTGCAAAAATATTAGATTGGTTAGCATTTGGGTTGCTTTGGTTAACTTTTCTTTGTGGTTAAGCTGGTTTTATATTTTTTAATTTAGTATAGTATTAGTTAATTTTAATAATTAACTGGTGATTTTGCAAAAATATTATTAGATTGGTTAGTATTTGGGTTGATTTGGTTAGCTTAACCAAACCAAACCAAAACAACTAGCGTAAATGTAACTGATTTCAGCTATTCTGAAATCAGAACATTCTTTATAAAAAATGAAAATAAAAAGTTTCCAGTTTTTTTTGTGTTTTTATAATCGGAAAAATGTCTAAAATTTAATACAAACATTGATAGAAATGTAACAGATTTCGGCTATTCTAAAGTCAGAGCATTTTTTCTAATCAGTGCATATTCTAAAGTCTATTAAATTTCCTCAGAAAATGGATACAATTTATTTCCGCAGGAAAATTTTTATTTTCCTCAATTCGTGAATGCTTCTAAAAGGCAGAAATATATTTATTTTTTATATAACTGATTTCAGCTATTCTAAAGTCTAATAAATTTCCTTAGAAAATGAAAACAGCTTATTTCCGCAAGAAAATTTTTGTGTTTATATGTTCAGAAAAATATTAAAAATAAAACGCAAACTGTATTTTTTTATAGCAGATTTCAGTTATTCTATTATATATTCTCCATTTCCGCAGAAAAATTTGTGTTTTCCGTGGTTCCCAGTAGCTTTTTAAAGACAAGTTTTTTTTTCTAATAAGTGATTTCAACTAAACGAAAGTTGACCCCATCTTTGTGGCATTGGTATCATAATTTTTGCTTAAATTTTGAAATCCACTATTTTTCTGTTTTTTCATATACAGGGTGGTCCGAACTGTATTCCGGAAACTTCGGCAACATATTCTGTAGATAAAAATAAGTAAAAAAGTTCGTATAAATGTATGTCCGAAAATGCTTAGTTTTGGAGATACAGGGTGTAGAAGTTTCATTTTTATTTCGATTTTTTCCAAATAATTCCAGAAATAACGTCAATATTTGGATGAAAATTGGTGTCGGGGTGTTTTTTAACATGAGAAATGTGATTTTGATGTCAATATGACTCCTACTAGTAGAGGGCGCCACCTACATATTTTTTAACTGGTTTGAAGAGTAATAACTTTTTGTCCGTACCTGTATAAAATTACTGAATGAAAAAATATACATTTACGACGTTTTTTACGTGAAAAAGGTCTCTTGGAAAAAATCTCTACGAGTAATGGTTTTCGAGATATTTAGAATCGAAATTATCAATACCTGTCATCATTGACATAAATTAAACAAATTGACTAAATAGTTATTATACTGAAATCATAAATTTGAAATGTTTTTGTGCCAAAAGT